AGGTTGGTTCCGCATTTGCTACCTACACTAATCCGGGTCCCGTAGGGTGGGTTATAATCTGGTAGGTCAGTTCCGCATTTGACGGCTTCAACAATAGATCTCTTGAAATTGGAAAGATCAGTGAAGCGTACAAAAATGCCAGTCAACCGAAATAATCCATAAAAATAAGCAAGTTCTGAATGAGTTAAAGTTGAAGTAGCATGTTCCAGTTGTAACGATTTCTCTAGTTTTTTACCATAGCTGATGCAGATATTTCTTTCACCGATCCCATTCTTAAAGGGCGAAGATTATTATTGATTATTATTATATTGAAGATTATTATCCCAATCATTATTGCGAAGCCGCAATCTTAAAACTGAAAAAATCACATTACACCAGCTGCTGCTTAAATACGCTTATGTTACAAAATGCTAATAGCTCAGTTGGTAAACTAAACCTGTCACAGGAAAAACTTTAAACTTTGTAAGCATCTTATAACAAATTAAAAATATAAAACAAAACTAGTGTACCTGTTGCTCGAAATCGAGCAGTTGTCTAGTACCGGCACTACAGAAGCTATATTAAAACTAGTAGTCATAATTTTCTATGAGTTTAAAAGACCCTATTAAAAGCGTATGCAACTAATGGAAATACATACGCATAGATACGCACAGATACGCATAGATACGCATGGATAATAACAGTTATAATAAATACGTCTTGTAAATACTGACAACAAACTAAATATGTTCTCTGCTGTATTCCCTGTAGTAAACAATGCGGTGTAATATTTCTAGGAATTCCCAAAAAAATATTTCCTAAAATATGGGAATCGGGGGAAGAGAGTATTTGTAGTACGCGAGGATGGTATGTGGCTGCAATCACTTGGAGAATTCAAGCATCTAGACCGCGTGCTATTCTGTGTGTTCATAGATTTTTTACATAACTATTATCACAACTAATCATAGTGTGTACGGTATCTGTGCAGTATTATTACTAAATAGTCAAATCAGTATTATTACTAAGATCAATTTTGTTAACATTTATGAAACAGGCGATTTTCTTACATCCTAAACCTAAAATATGTAGAGTTTGTATCATAAATATTCCGAATTTCGAATCGGATACAAGCGTATCCAATCTTTGGATATTTAACTTAAATTTCTTCAATATTCATTCTACGTCGGCTTTTAGTGAGGCTAATTACCCTTGTCTAATGGAGTGTAACCCACCTTTGTCAATATAAATGCGGAAATAACCTACCTACTTAAGGGAGTGTCGTAACACTTCGGCCCAAGTAACACTTCGGCCCAGTAACATTTCGGCCCGAAACCCTCAGATGTGGCCTACGGTCCAACTCTCTACCTGCCCACTAGTAACACTTCGTCCCAACAAAATATTTGACAGGTTAGGTTAGGTTAGGTCAGGTTAGGTTAGGTTAGGTTAGGTTAGGTTAGGTAAGATTCCACCGATTCTCCGTCATGTGAGGTCAGAGGATGCAAGGGGTGACGGTTGGGCGACATTCCACCAGAAGGTGGTTGCAAAGTATACAGGTCATGTACAGTACTACCTGAACTGCGTTCCTCAACCCTTGTCAATTTTTCGTCGGGCCGAAATGTTACTCCATTAGCTTATTTAATCATCTGTAAAAGCGAGTGGGACGAAGTGATACTGTTTTTCTAAGAAATTTGAGTTTGGCCGAAATGTTACTGGGCCGAAGTGTTACTACATCCTTAAGGGGCCCACCAGATTCAAATGCGGAACGAACCTACCCATTTATGGCCCTAGGGTTATTATCTGCGGAACTAACCTACCACCGCCTGAAAGCCCTGATCCCCTATTCACTAAGTAGAAACATAACATCTGTTAATGATACCTCAAAATTGCAATTCATTTGATGTTAGATATACAGTAAAATGGTTAGTGTTAATACATTTGTTGTTTAATTCGATGAAAAATGAGTCCAAACACGAAATAATTATGACAAGTAGCTAGCTAATAAAAACGTGTTAAAATACTCGTAGCTTTTACATTTTGTAAGCAAAATATATATTGTTTGGTATCATTTAACTTAGCATTTTGAGCTGAAGTCAAAAGCGTTACCAGATTTTATAACAAACGTAAAATTAAAAAAAATTGATAGTTTAATTTCCATGAGCCACCGATGACTCGAGTGGCAGGACAATGGTCCGTCCCACGTCCGTCCTAATCCCTTGCGTCTGTGTGTGTGAGGCCTGCTTGTGTGTGAGTAGGGTCGACCCTTCAGCCAGCCGCTTTCCGTCAACAATCACACTATAGGAGTGGAATCGTTGAACGGATACTTTAAGGCATTGTTATGTTATTGTTTACTTGCATAGCTATCCTGTATGCACAATTTGTATTTTAGCTGCAGTTTTTTTTTAATACGGACAAAATGAGAGTTAAAAAATGAAAAATTATAATTTTTTTTTAAATTATAAAATGAAACTGTCATAACCTAACCTAACCAACCACTTGCTGATAATGAAAAAATCTAATGAAGGTTTACTAATCAAAAAAGTAGATCAGTTCATAATATAAAATTATAAAGGCTTCAAATTCAATTATAATTTTACAAATCCAGTTGTAATTTTTTTTTATTAAACTGTCATAACCCGACCAAACTGACCAAACTTGCTGATGATGAAAAGAATCGAATGAAGGTTCTCTAATCGAAAAATAGTTCTGTTCGTAAAATAAAATTATATTTTAAATGTCTTAAATTCTAACAAAAGATGTACAGTTTAGAAGTAATCGTATTCTCAAGCAAAATCTTTTGACAAAAAGTTAAGCCGCGTTTACACCAAAGTTGACAACCAAAAAATTACAAAAGTCGCATTAACTTTTGAATCGTAACTTTTACAGCAATGGGGGGTTGCACTATATTGTTTAGAACTATAAGGACCACAAAGATGGTAATTCAATCAAAACCAGTTTTTAAAATAAATTTTTCGTTTTTTTCATGGATTTTATGGGAAAACAACATATAAGTTACAATAACTTTTGAACCGTAATTTTTACAGGAATGGGAGTTCTATTATTTTGTTCAGAGTTTAAAGGGTGGCAACAATATAGGCTACTAAATCTTTATCAAAATCGTTTCGGCCATTTCCAAAAAAAAATCAATTTTTCCGTGTTTATGAGTTTTTATGGAAAAATCACCATTAAAAATCAAAACTTCAAAAAAAAATTAAAACACCTGGAGATATTTTGAATTAGTTCCTACATACCAAAATTTCATCAAAATCAGAACACAGGCGTGGTCTGTAGATCTGTACACATCCAGAGTTATTAGGCCTAATTGAGATATTTAAATAGAAAAATAGCTAAAATTTACCCTATTATAATAATTACAACAATACAATAATACACATTTACAATAAGTTTACGTATACAAGATGGGAGGGGGAATAGTTCTCCACTAGTTTTCCACAAGCTGCTTGCGCAAAGCGTTTAGCAACTAGTCTTCAACTTTTTGTTGTAAACTTTCTTTGGTCTTACCGACTCTCCGCGGGAAACCAAAATTTAGTGGAAAACTTCTCTCTCCACTAGTTGACGCCAGAAAAATCCGCTGCATTTTGTAGAAAAAGCAACAAGTTTCCGCAAACTATAGTGGAAAACCTGGTTGTCAACTTCGTTTTAAACGGTGGGATTCGATCTGGAACTGTATCAGTCTAGTGCTCTATCCATTACACCACGAACAACGTTCGCTGCCCTTCCGTATCGTTGCGGTATAATGGTGTTCCCTCAGCCTTTTAATGATAGATTACTCGGCTGATCCCGGCTGAGGTAACCAGATCGACTCTCACCGGTGACACTAACCTTTTGTCAAAGATTTTGCTTAGAATGTAATTACTTCCTAACTAACTTAAAAAATTAATTAAAAGTTAGTTATAACTAATGATTTTGATGTTAACTAACTTTTAATTACTTCCTAACTACATCTTTTGTTAGAATTTGAGGTATTTATCATTTTATTTTATGAACAGAACTTTTTTTAATTAGTAAACCTTGTCATCATCAGCAAGTTTGGTTAGTTAAATTAGGTTATGGCAGTTTAATTTTAGAAATGATGTACTGTAGTTAAAAATATCAATTATTTGAATCCATCTGAGTCAACAAACAGCAAAGATTGACGTCACGCCATGACAGCCAATAGAATGCTTTCATTTCGCCCGTATCGACAAACAGCAGCTGAAATAAAAATTGTGCGTCCAGCACCAAATTGTTTGAGTCCAGTTTTATGGTTCTGATGGCAAACCAATAAGTGGATTGAAGTAAGCTTTCGATAATTGCTACCGGAGTTCAGTAGCTTTTGGGCCGCTTTAGCAACAAAAAAGGGTTGAGTCGTGTGGCCCGCCCTCCCTTCTCCCTCTAGTCAAAGTGGTAATGCAAGACCGAGGAGCGCAAGCACCTCTGCGCTCCTTGGTCCTCCTGACCCGACGAATTCTTCGGCCAAGGGGTTGAGAGTTTTACGACTGACGCTCCTCTACTTCTGTACGTTTCCGCTGCAAGAAGGGAAAGGGACGCTTTCACGGATGTAAAAAACTGCCATTAAACCAACATTCGATGACGTCAGCATCAGATGCATTTCTCACTTTAAAATGTTTAAAAATTACCTTTTAAGCTATTTATAAGCTTTTGACGTTAAACCATTATTTTGACCTCAGATACAAGATTTTAAAATATACAATCTCGAAATTAGAAGCTGTATGCCTAGGGTTCCATGGCACGATGGCAGTAAATACTGTATACAAAAACTGTACTGTGTGTAAAAACGGCACATGGTAAAAATATTGTAAGGCTATATTGTTTTCTGTGATCCTTGTCAAACGACAGAAATGAGGAAATAACTGTAATGAAAACTAGGCTGTAGTGGAAACTATTGTAGGGATAGTTGCAAGTCATAAACTCACAACCTTTAATAAAATGTTCTGGTTATATTTTAGTTGCAATGTATCAAATCAAATGTTTCATATCTAGTAAAAACAACAGTTACTTACCATCTAAATTCATTTCAACACCTATCATCTCCCAAATTTCATTTTTCGCCGACGAGTCCATATACTTGGGGTTAGACACATCATACAAAACAAGGTTTTGGCGAACACATTCTATCAATTTTTCATCATTCATCTTGCTTATTGTTACAGTATTTAAAATATTAACACAGTAAAATTACAACACTAGTTTGTCCAACATACACGTCACACGACCGTTACACGTCCGAACAATCAAAACAAATCGGTGGGAAGTTATCTGATGTTGACTGACTGACGTCGGCAGAGCGACTGACGGGCCTGCGCCGGATGCGAGTGCGCATCACGTGACCGATGTGACTGACCTGTGACGCGCCGGAACCGATGTGTTTGAATCGACCTACGCGCAGCCACGTTCGGCTAGTTTCGGTCTCAGTCGCCTTGTCTCCTTGTTTACTGGGGTTTTACAGCTGCACGGCCATCGGCTTAATGTTAATGTGCTCGTAACATTCATGTTTCATGTTGTTAGCTGTGAAGGGCTTCCAACACTGCCTTTCCAGCCTCCACTCACTCAACTGTCAACAACAACTACCGACAGCAGCAAGACTGGTAGAAGCAAAAAACTTAAAAGTGAACAACAAATCATAAAATATGTTTTAATCCGCGTCTTACTGGAGTCTATAAATTCCTTGTCTAAATAGCGATGTCATTTGATTGTATAGTATACACTAAAATTGTTTATAACAGTTACCTTGAAAAATAAACATTTTAACCCCCATTAAACTGATGGTATTGTATAACGACATATACTCATATATCATAAATCTTACTACAGTATGTGATGGTGGATTTAAGGATTTATGAAGAATGGGTTTCATTTAACGCCCACAAACTTATGATACAGTACTCAACGAAACTGAGTTGATATCGGTGTTCTTTTTGCAACATCATTTGTGGTGTAACTTTGCTGATTGTGTGTTTTGATTTGCTGTTTATGAACTATCTTCAATACCGGTATACGTTTAATCTGTAATATAATCTAAGAAACATTGGTCAAGTCGTTATAGATTTGAAGGTAGCTCCCTAAACAAAGGTGGCACTACTGAAGACCTTGTCAATATCTCACCTTGGAAACTAAAATGAATCGAGGTTCAGTCAAGTTAAAGTTAAAATACCACCGTCGCAGCAAACCTGAAGACTAAGCGAATTTCCATTTGCATGATTTGACTCTCACTTAAATATATTTAAATAGCATTTGGTTTTTGCATAGTATATTAAATAGCATAGTAAAAGGTTTGCTGCTACAGGGGGGGGGGGTAATAATGTATGTTTTTAGTAAAATATTAAGGTGTATGCACATGAACCAGCCTGTAATCCTCGGTTGACCTGTCAGTTCTAGGCTGGTGTCGAACGCTTCCGCATCATACCGTGCATAGCCAACTGTTCGCGGCAAATTGTTAGTTCTATCACCGTCGCGGTCAAAACGTATCGTTTGTAGGTTAAATTTAAATTTAATTTGACTGTCATAACCTAACCAAACTAACCAAACTTGCTGATTATGGAAAAATCGAATAAAGGTTTACTAATCGAAAAATAGTTCTGATCATAAAATTATTAATGCCTTAAATTCTAACAAAAGATGAACAGTTTAAAAGTAATCGCATTCTAAGCGAAATCGTTGACAAAAAGTTAACGCCTCCGGTGGGATTCAGAATTTTCGATGTGACCACTACCCTCAGGGCATAAATAAGGGGATTAACCCAAAGAAAGATCTGGGCCGTTGTCCGTCTCCCAAAATATTAATAGCTAAGTATTAAATTGAGAAATTGGCCAGGTTTGATCAACATATATCCAGAAATAAGCAAACTACAACAGTTTACTTATTCTCCTTAAGAATAATTGGGAATTAAAAAAAAACATATCGTACATATTTTAGCACGTCAAAAAAGTTACAATGGAGCCCTGAATTGAAATAGCTACACGCTTTACCAATTAAATGTTATTATTTCAGAAATTTAAATTTTGTTTATAATCAATGGCATAACTCATACGTAATCATAAAATGAATAACTTACAACATATTCAGTATCAATTGTTTCAATCACCTGTATAATAGTGAAATGAGTTGTTGATGGATTTACTAAAACATGACGTGTTCAGTATGTGACCACTGTACATCAATAATAGGATACGAGCAATTTATTATTTCAAAGTGAATAAAGCAATAATATTTTATCTTTAAAAGATTATGTTTGTTTATGACGGTTATTAGGTGAATAAAACGGGTGGAAAAGAGATGTAACAGAGGAAACCCTTGCTGTATATAGATAGATGTTCTGTAGATTGTCGTGAGTAGGCACCAAAGATATAAACAACTAGCTGGCCCGACAGACGTCGTCCTGTCCTATTGTGGTTTTATGTCACATGCTCGTTCATTTTCAAGATGAGCTCGTTTGCATGGCTCAATCACGTCCTGGTTGAAGTTCGTTCGCTACGCTCACTCACCTTTGGGTTGGAGCTCGTTCGCTGCGCTCACTTGCCTTCAGGTTAGCTCGTTCGCTACGCTAACTCGCCTCCAGGTTGAAGTTCGTTCGCTACGCTCACTCACCTTTTGGTTGCAAGTTAGCTGTTCTCATAAATTAAAAATAAATATAGTACTGCACCCTGTTGGTAAACCTATTAACTTTTTAATGCTATTGAACATCACAGAATCAAATTGTTTAGTTGCACCAGCTGTTAAGATTCTTTAATTCCATTTAAATATGAGTACTCATAAGGTTAACATGGGAAACTCCAGAGCCACTGCGGCGGAGCCCTATTGACGGATCTGCACCAAACTTCACACAAACCATCCTTGAATAATGCTTAATAATGCCTGCAAGTTTCATTACAATCTGTCGAGCGGTTTTGGAGTCCATAAAGGACAAACATACAAATATACAAACATACAAATATACAAACATACAAACATACATTGGATTTTATATATAGATTAAAAAGTTTTGTTTTTCTTTTCCGAGTTCGTTTGGCTCTTCTACCCGACCGATTTTCATGATTGAGGTCTCAAATTGAAGGTATGCAAGCACAGATTTGCCATCAAGCATCGGAATATAGTTATCTATAATCCTACTCGGCTTATACGTAAAATAAATTTGCTCCCCATGTTATTCTTATGGGTGTTAAATTTGGTTTATCTTTGCCGAGTTCGATTGGCTCTTCTACCCGACCGATTTTCATGATTGAGGTCTCGAATTGAAGGTATGCACGCACAGATTTTCCTTCAAGCATCGGCAAATATTTATCTATAACCCCACTTGGTTTATACGTAAAAAAGATTTCCTCTCCATGTATTTCTTATAGAAGTTAAATTTTGTTTCTCTTTTCCGAGTTCGTTTGGCTCTTCTAACCGACCGATTTTCAAGATTGAGGTCTCATATTGAGGGTATGTACGCACAGATGTCCCATCAAGCATTGGAATATATGTAGCTACAGTCCAAACCCGGATTATACGTAAAATAAATTTGCTCTATTGGTAGTTAAATTTAGTTTTTCATTTCCCAGTTCGTTTGGCTCTAGTACTCGACCAATTTTCATGGTTGAATTTTCAAATTGAAGTTATGCATGTCCAGATTTCACAACAAGCATCGGTTTAAGATACAATATACAAAATACAAAAAAAAAATAAAAAATACAAGGTTAAACCCGTCGAAATCAACAGGTACTGTTGAGGTAATTCTATTTTGGAACCATTTGGTTTGTTTGTGATTCAGCACTATGCCAATCTTAATAATCATAATTAATTACACAAATGATGCCGGAATTTTACCGAAGGTTCTTATATGAAAATAAATAGGATAACGTTATTAGAATTGAGTATAGATATCAACTTTCGTTTTTTCGTTTCGTTTAGTTTTTTGTTTTGTTTTTGTCTAAATAATCTACTTTTATTTGGGCTATCGGTATAATATCGGGCTATACTTTTATTCGGGCGGAGGGTATGTTGAGTTGAGCTGACTCTGAACTTTAGTTTCAAAACGTTTTCCAATATCTTATCTTAGACAAAATTTATGATTCCTTCAAAAAATATTTACATCTGTCTTTCGAACATATGATTGAATATTTATTTAATTCCGATAAGGTGTTTACATTTTAAATGCATTTTCGTTTTGTTTACTAACACGTTTACGATTTTATCTGTGGCATTTATGATGAAACTGCGAATTACGTAAATGAGTCGATTATTATTGTTCGTTTTATTATTTTTTTCCAGTTATTGCTTTTTGTGTGTTTACGGTACTCAAATTTATTTGTATCTACGATGAGTAATTTAGATGATGGTCACTACAGCGTCCTTGAACATAAAAGTGACAGTTCTTCTTGCGTAACACCAATGCACAGTCTTGGGTGTACTGATAAAAATGTTATACCTTCCAAATACCATTATAAAGGGGATCAGATTGTGGTCACAGTTCCTGCAAAGAAGCGTAGGCCTACGAGCAATTCAACTTTAACAGGGAGGCGTGAGAGAGGTGTCAATTTCACAAGAAATACTTTAGTTGAAAAACCATTCTTAAAGATGTCTTCAAGCTGTACCTTTTCAGACAAGATTCCAAATGAGTCTAATGTACCTTCCCAATCCCATAGTAAAGCTGATCAGATTGAGGTCACAGTTCATGCAAAGAAGCGTACGGTATGCGCAATTCGACTTTAACAGGAAGACGTGAGAGAGGTGTCAATTTTACAAGAAATACTTTAGTTGAAAAACCATTCTTAAAGATGTCTTCAAGCTGTACCTTTTCAGACAAGATTCCAAATGAGTCTAATGTAGTACCGATGTCACACAACGCTACTTCATCAAAGATAGGGAAAATTACCGTGAGTAATAATTCTTTGAAGACTAATTTTCCTACTTTTGATATGATTCCTATTGTTGGTGACGGAAATTGTTTATTTCGTGCTATATCTTACTGTTTGCATGGTAGTGAAAATAGACACTCTGAAATAAGATCAGTTATTGTTGATGATGTAATAAGAAAGTGGAATTTATATAGATATTTCATAGTTGGGGACACTTCTTATGGACATTATATTAAGAACGTTAGTGATTACGAAACTGTGATGTCCGCCAATGGACAAAAAGCAGGGCATGTTGAACTTAACAGTGCTGGTGAATTATTTCACGAGTGTAAATTTAAGGTGCACATTGAACATACTAAATCAATAATTGAATTTGGTTCTGGTAGTGTAATTCACAACCTACTCTTCACAGGTAATTTAGATGATGGACACTATAGCGTCCTTAAACATAAAAGTGACAGTTCTTCA